TCAGCTAGTTTCTTCGTTTGGAGTCTGGTCCTGTAAGTTTTTTTGCTGTAAGATGGCTACCTTTACATCTGCTATTGTGTGGCCAGGGAGGTTGAAGTGTTCTCCTACAGGTTTTTGTATATTGCCATTCCTGATATCTGACTTGTGTCCATTTATCCTCTTGCGTAGTGACTGTCCAGTTTGGCCAATGTACATAGCAGAGGGGCATTGATGGCATATGATGGCATATATAACATTGGTGGACGTGCAGGTGAATGAGCCGGTGATGTTGTAGCTGATCTGGTTAGGTCCTGTGATAGTTTTGCTGGTGTAGATATGTGGGCAGAGTTGGCATCGAGGTTTGTTGCATGGGTTAGTTCCTGAGTTAGAGTTGTTATGGTGCGGTGTGTGGTTGCTGGTGAGAATATGCTTAAGGCCATAGAACCAGGGCCGGAACCAGGTTTTTTGCCGCCCCAAGCAAAAAAAAAAGGGGGGGGGGCGGAGTGCCGCCGCCGAAGCAAAACAAAAACAAAAACCCAGTGCCGCCGCTGAAGCAAAGAAAAAAAAAAGGGGCCACCCCAAGCACATGCTTGGAACGCTGGTGCCTAGAGCTGGCCCTGCATAGAACTTCTCCGAGTTAATTTCGGTTTGAATTAGAGCAGATCCTTCTGACAAATATCTAGTCTTGATTTAAAAATATCCGATAATGGAGAGGACACCACAGCCCTTGGTAATTTGTTCCAATGGTTAATTACTCTTACTATTAAAAATTATGCCTTATTTCTAGTCTGACTTTATCTAGCTTCAACTTCCAGCCATTGGAACTTGTTAGACCTTTGTCTGCTAGACTAAGAAGCCTCTATTAACAGCTTTCTCTTATCCATGTTGGTTCTGTTGTGGTCAAAGACACCCAGGCAGTGATTTTAGTTCAAAGACTCAAGCCTGAGGCCAGTTTATTGACATACATACCAGTGCACTGGGGTGCAGTCTGAAGACTGACACCCTGAGTACCGCTCGCAGGTGGCTTTATTGCATTAAACCGCAAGCAAAGTACAAACAATACATCATGAGTTAAGAAATTGGTGTTGGGGTCAGTTTCCTCTTCACCATTTCCCAAGATTTGAGTGTTTATTTGGGTAGAGGGGCGTTTGGTGGTTTTCCCCAGGGGTGGTACTTGGCACCAGTTTGAGTACATTTCTCGGCAAGGCACATGTTATTTCCGGGGGGGGTGTGGTTCGGTGAAGGATTAAGGGGGGTTTATCAGAGGACGCTAAAAGAAGATCTATGATTGGCTAATTTTGCAGATAGCTGGAATCACAGGAGAAGTTGGCATTTGCAAAAGTAATTTCTTCATACAAGTGGTTATTATATTTCATAAACTTGCGGTTATTAGGTTGCCGAGGCCTTTACCACTGTTACTTCCTCCCCCCTCTCTCCTCTGGTCATGACCCTTGACCGAATTTGGCAGAGAACTGTGCAGTTCAGTCTTGTTCAGGCCCTGGCCTGTACTACTTTTTGTAAAGGCAGTCAGCATAACAGTCCTCTGTTAGAGGGTTCATTTCGGGGCCTTCAGATTCACAGCTTTGGCTATTAAAAAGAAGGCCCCCCTGTTCTATTTCCCCACAGTTCTTAGACTGTGATCAAGTCACCCCTTTACCTTTCCTTCTTTTCAAAGAAAAGCTTTGCAGACAGCACCCACATGCTAGTAATTTGCACATTCTGCCAAACTCTTTGTGGTATGAGCAAATAAACTTTGATCTCCCAGCTGCTCTTGGGACATGACCTGGGCATCAGAAACGTCATTTCAGTTGTGACCTTACTCACTGGAGAAGGCAGGATACTGTGAAGTTTAGGGGCAGATGAAGTCTTTGCTCTTACAAGAGCTGACCTGTGAAGAAGACATTAATCCCAGCACTTTTCTGCTCAGCAGCCAACACTGAAACTGCAGTGTGATGCTACATGGGGGTTGTGGGGAGGATGCGCATCAGAGGACACCTAGTGCTCTCTTCTGCCCCATTTCTGTGACCCGATGATCCAGCTGGAAGATCTCAGGGCTGGTTTTGAACACAACTTGGGTGTCCCACCCCATACTCCTCTTCTAGGGAAAAAGGCTAACATCCAAAATTGGGCATGTACTGTGACTGTGTGCGAGATGGCGGCCAGGGGTGCAAGCTGGGATCAATACTGGGGTCTGACTGGTGGGTCCAGGCAGCAGTGTGTGAAGCACCACAGGGATCCCTGAATGTCTGTCATTCACAGCCATCTCCTGAGTGAAGTCATGGTCCAAGGGTTAATCACTGAGCATGGGGTAGAGAAGGCAGGGGGCTAGACAATACCTCCTACCTCATCCAAGCCAGAGGTAGGGGGCGAATGGGATCCTGATCCTACCATCGCCTGGCATGGCCAGACTTACCTGTGGAAGAGAAGGTACATTTCCTGGCTGACTCCAGTGGGCTCCCACTTGATAGAGAACTTGGATGATTTATAGGAGGAGTTTGGTGAGTAGAGGCCCTCTCCAGGCAGCGTGTCTCAGGCAGGTCCCTGCAGAACCAATTAGAACAGTACCTTGTTTCTGCTGCGGGCAGGTGGGAATACTCCTGGTAAGCTGATGTGACCAGTTATTGTCATCACCCCTGGTGGCGTCCATGGTTGAAGGAAAAGGAGACACAATGTCTCAGGGCTCCGCGTTATGCATGGAAACCAGAGGCCTTTATCATACCGGCCTGCATCCAAAAGTGAGCACTGGGTCGATCAAAATGAGCTGTTCCAGTTTTTGACTTTTTAAACATTTTATTAGATAACATAAAATACAAGCATTGAAATGAAATGTCCTGGTGAAACAGAAGATCGAAACATGGTGACTTTCTAAATGAAATGTCATCAAGATTGCCATGTTTTGCTTTCGATGAATTGGCATTCAACTGATGGATAAAAGTTCCATTGGAAAATTTCTAGTCTGTGCCTTAAGTATCTAATTGAATCTATGCCCTGCCACTGCAGGGGCCTCAGAGATTGGGAGATCTCGGTCCCGCCTGTTCTTTGCCTCTGACACAATAGCTTAGTCTCCAGAGGACTGTAATACTTTGGTCTAATACAGGTTAATGACTTGCTTGTCCCATTACTGGGACCAGTACAGACAACAGTGAAGGTCTCAATACACACCACAGTACTGGTCCCATGACTTGTCTCAGTACAGAACCCAGTACTGGTCCCAGTTCAGACACCAGTACTGGTCCTATGACTGGTCCCAGTACAGACTCCAGTACTACTCCCAGTACTTTTCCCAGTATTGGTCCCAGCACTGATCCCAGAATAGATCCCAGTACTGGACCCAATACAGGCCAAAGCACTGATCCCTGGACTGGTCCCAGTACTGATCCCTATATAGACCCCAGTAATGTTTCTGATTCACTTTCTGTTTTACAGCTCATGAAATACTGCAGGACCAGCCACATTGTGTTCATAACGATCATCACCAGACTTCCTTGCTTTCAGGCAGAGATGGCAGGCACATACGGTAGTTTACAAGGGCTGGTGAAAAATGGTGCAAAATGAAATCAGAAGCCCATGGAATGATGGGAGGAAAGAAATACATCATGGGATGGTGAGCATGCCCCCATGATACACTGCGATCTGTTCCCAGAGGTCTCAGTGGCAGAGGGTGGTGAATTGCATAGTGGGATAGCTACCCATGATACAACACTCTCTCTGTTGATGCAAGAGCAATGACTATGGACGCACTCCACCAACACAAGGAGCGTTGTGTGGACGTGCACAACCAATGTAATTAAAGTGGCTTATGATCATCGACAACAAGTAAGTCAACTTAAATGGCCTTAGGCCAGGTCTACACTATAGACTTATATCGGTATAACTACATCACTCAGGGGTGTGAAAAATCCACCAACTTCTGAGTGATGTAGTTATATCAACCTAATCCACCCAGATAGACAGCACTGTGTCGATGGGAGAGCGTCTCCCATCAACACAGCTACTGCTTCTTGGGGAGGTGGATTAACCTTGCTGACAGGAGACGCTCTCCCGTTGACTTAGGAGCGTCTTCACTAAAACGCTACAACGATGCAGCTCTAGCGCTGTATGTGAAGACAAGCTTTTCGTGCATCAGTCACATTCCAAAGGAAGAAAGTGTGTGAAAGGAGTCAGGGCCCAACACAAGCAAATTAGTGCTAGTTGCAATAGTCGTTTTTGCGATGTATGCCACTAGTGAAAGGGGACTCATGTTCCACCATGTGTGTGTGGTAAGAGTTACATGTGGGTACGCACATGCCACATCTTTATACTACATGCAAATACACCACATGCACACGCAGACACGCATGCCACATGCACACACAGACACACATCTGTGAACAAGTGCTTTAAACTGACTCAGGATCCATTTTGAAGCTTTATTGACAAAGTCACCAAGGGAAATGTTCAGGACCAAAGCCTGGGGGGGCTGAATAGTGCTGGTGAGTTATCACCTTATTTCATTCTGTGTAGTGTGATCTACAAATGGTGCAGAGCCAGGGAGAAGCAGACTGAAATGAGTTCCCTGTAAGATGAACAATGGAGCTGGATACTAGAACTGCACTCAGAAAATGGAATGAGATCTATGATGCAGGACGGGGTTGGATTTTACTTCTCAGAGAAGCCGCTGCTGGAGCCATCTCTTGTAGGAGTTCCTTATGAGGCCCATTGCTCAGTCTCTTCTTTGGGGTCATAAGCCTCATTGGTGTAAGGTGGTGGAGGGGGCATTGGTGCGGCGGGAACCCCAAAGTTTTCATTGGCAGCATATGGCCTGAACAACATGGCCTGCAAAACAAAAGAGATCGGCCCTCGCTGGTACCATCATTGTCTCCATTCTCACCCCCACAACCATTACCTTCCTCACCCCTCCGTTCTCGCTCCATCATCTGCCTCACATTCTTCATTACCACCACCTTCCTCACCCTTCCATCAACGTATTCGAGCGGGATAGCTCAGTGGTTTGAGCATTGGCCTCCTAAACCTAGGCTTGTGAGTTCAATCCTTGAGGGGGTGATTTAGGGAACTGGGTTTTAAAAAAAAACAAAAACAAACAAACTATCTGGGGATTGGTCCTGCTTTGAAAAGGGGGGTTGGATTAGATGATCTCCTGAGGTCCCTTCCAATCCTGATAGTCTATGATTTTTCACCACTTCCTTCTCCCTCTAGTTTTTATAAGTCTGCTGTATTGCCTGGCACTACCCCAGGGATGAATCTGTGCCATCATCACTAACTTCACGACCAACACCCAATTCACTATCTGTAGGATTTTCCCTGTGGAGGTGCATGGGTCCCAGCTGTCACAGAACATGACCATAGTCTTTTGCAAAACTGGAGGATACAGAATCTATACTTCCTTTGGGTCCTGACTGCAGCAGGTTTGCTGTGAGGCACTTAAAGGGTTAACACGGTAGGTCTCACTATGCTACAGAGCGTCCCTTTGTGTTCCTTGCTAGGGCTGCTTGAAAATTTCCTGTCAAAAAGCTGCTTTTCAACAAAAAAACCACAGAATCCCCAAACTTTTCTGTCTAACTATACAAAATGTTTCATGAAAAAATATCCACTTTCCCAGGAAAAAATCAATTTTTCATCAAAAAAAGAATGCCCCCAACCAAAAGATTTCAATTTGGAGATGCTGCTGCAGTGCCTCATGGGAAATGTAGTTTGGTTGCCTAAAAAGAAGAACAGGAGTACTTGTGGCACTTTAGAGACTAACAAATTTATTAGAGCATAAGCTTT